GGAGGAGGGGGCCGGCGGGGAAGCGGCGCGGGGCGGCCACGTGAGAGCTGCAGCTGGGGGCCGGGGGGTGCCTGTGAGGTGCTGGAGGCGGAGAGCGAGCTGGGCGCCTGCGTCCCCCTAACTCCTACCTGGCAGGTCGTGGGGAGCCCAGCATCCTCCCGTGCCCTCCACCCTCCCCCACGCGAACGTGGTGGGGACAAACAGCTGGCGGACCGGTGACCTGGCCCTCGGGATCCGCAAAAGCCCTGGCCCTCCTTGGTCGGGGGCAAGGACCCAGGTGTCCGGGCGGAGGGAAGAGGTCAAGAACCAGGCTTTGGCCCCAGTGTGTGGCCCATCTCCTGCCCGCCGCTGTCTGCAGACTCACTGCAGAGCGCAGGCCTTGGGAAGGGAGCTCAGGGGCCTGGGCCCTGCTTCCTAGGACGGACCCTTCCATCCCCACCCAACCAGGCATATGGCATTAGTAAATTTTTAGACCCAGGACCCTTGGCTGGGAAGAAGGAAGGGACGCTGGTCACCTCTGAGTTGGGGACAGGGCCACACTTGGGCCTGATGAGTTCTAGGAGGCTGGCCCCTGCCAGCCTTGTACCCCCTTGTACCCTCTCCCTGCCTCCAGGGCTGTTCCCTGCCTTCGTTTCTGCTACTCCCCAGAAAGGGCTGCTTTGTGGACAGGGAATGTAGTATCCAGCACAATCTTCAGGTAAGGGACATCCTAGAATCCCCCAAGTTGCCACACCCAGAGACAAGCCAGACTCTGGCATCCCTTGCCCTTTTTTCCTCCCCTAGGACTGCCCCCTCCCCACCTGCTTGTTATGTAATTAACCCAGCTGAGTCTCTCTGCCAAGCTGGCAGTGTCCAGGGATGCTGGAGGGGCCTAGGGGATATATGGGGAAGAGGAATTGGTACTTCTGAAGTTGTGGGGGAACATAAGTGTACAGGCACCTGTTGGGGAAAGGACATGTATGGGATGCAAAGGACATCAGGGTCCTAGACTTAGCTGACAATTCAACTGGTTAAGAGTTCTTCACTTTTCTAAGTCTTTGGGTTTTTAATTTTGTTATTCCTTCAATAAAATGAGAAGAATCTCACACAGAGATATCACATGTATGTGAATCCATACAACAGTGGATAGTGACTACTCCCAAGATTGCTAGGAGGGCCCCATTGAGATTGTGGAAAACCTCAAATGAGTCAAAGGCCTCTGCATGTAACAGTAGTCAATGTTCCTTGGGCCCCTACTCTGTGTAAAGGCACTGGTCTTTACATGCATGACCTCACCACACCCTGTGAATTTCTTGCCCAAGTTGACACTTTATGGACAGCAGAGCAGGGACTCAAACCCCAGCACTTCTCACTCCAAATCCTGCCCTTAATTTACTATACTACATGCGCACATACCCCATAGATTGAGTCCTTTGATGCAGGACAGCTTGAGGACATCCTATGTCTACAAAGGAAGAGCATGTACATACCCTGAAAAACATGGCTCCATCGGAATCTAGAAAACCCACCTGTCCTAGACCTAGTAGTAATGGGAGTTGCCATTCCCAAGAGAAGAAAAGTTCTTTCTTTCTCCTGGTTATGAGACTTACTGGGGTTATCTCAGAAGTGGGAGTTATTAACCTCATTTCAAATATGGTGATTTGCCGACTAATCCCACAACATAGAAATATCAAAGCTGGAGTTTATACCCAAGCTCTAAAATTCAAACTGAACAAGCCAGAAGCTAATAGATCCCTCTCAAAGTATAGTTGCTTTGCAGCCCTTTGTATCTGGACACCAGCTTTGTATCACGTCCTGTGAACCCCAAAGAATGCCAGAGAATCAGACCCAGCCCTTGGCCTATAGGCAGTCACCACTTAGAATCACTACACTTGAAAGTGAGAAGTGCTTCAATATTGTAGAATGAAGTAGTTGCCATTCCCAAATGTGTGACTTTGGGCCTCCTCTCTGAAGTGGAGACAACAATCTCTCTCCCATAGGGAGATTACCCTGTGCTAACCGTGTGCTCAGTGGTGCTGCTGTCCCAGATCTAATGTGGTCATCTAGTGCATTCCTACCATTGTCAGCTAGACTTAGCTGACCATTCAACTGGTTAAGAGTTCTTCACTTCTCTGTCTTTGGGTTTTTAGTTTTGTTTTTGATTGGGGGTATTGGGAAATGTGGGAGTCATTTTTGGTCATCATGGTGACTGGAGACTGACTGCTAGCAGTTACTTCCATAGTTCCCTGGAAGTAACATGCTGCTGTGGGGGGCAGATCTGTACAAGAAAGAATTGTTTCCCCATAAAATGCCTGGAGTTCCTCCCCCAAGACATCCTTGCCTAGAAATAAGACCTAGAGACTCAGGAGATGCTGTCCTGTCCCAGGCTCAGTGGGAAAGCTGGCTTTTGAACCCAAGCCCAGTGCTCTTTCCACTCTGCTATGCAGTCTACCATGGTTGGGAAGTTGTATCTGGTGAAAACTCAGGTTCAACGCAAGTCAAATGAAATATACTGGTGGGGTTAGCAGGAAAAAAAATGGAGAAGAAAGGATAGAGAGGTTTTGGATAGGTTCTGGGAAAGGGAAGGCATTCTAAGTGGCAGTGACAGCTTCCACAAAGTCCCAGAGGTGGAAAAGTATAGGATATATCCAGGGATAAGCCTGTGCACTAAGCCCACCTCTTGTCCCCCAGTCCAGGTGGAGGCCACAGAGGGCCCAGAGAGCAATCAGAGGCAGCAATGATTGGTCCTGACGGTGGCTGAGCCCCCAGCCCCTGGAATATGCAGCCCGGGAGAGCCCCAGGCAAGGACACGGTGGCGGAGTGGGGCGGGAGGCATGGTCTCCACCTACCGGGTGGCCGTGCTTGGGGCGCGAGGTGTGGGCAAGAGTGCCATCGTGCGCCAGTTCTTGTACAACGAGTTCAGCGAGGTTTGCGTGCCCACCACCACCCGCCGCCTCTACCTGCCTGCTGTGGTCATGAACGGCCATGTGCACGACCTCCAGATCCTGGACTTCCCGCCCATCAGCGCCTTCCCTGTCAACACACTGCAGGTAAGCAGCCCTGAGGGCCATGGCTGGTGGGGTTGAGGAGGCTGGACTCCAAGCAGCTCAGGCTGTGCCCTGTTGCAAGGGCTCTGCCATTGGATTTGAGAGCTCTGCACTGCACCTGCTTAGAGCTGCACCAGTAAGCCAGACATTTGTATGCTAGCTTATTCAACAAATATTTGATGACTGTTTAATGTGTGCCAGACCCTGCATTGGGCATGGGAAAATAATATGGAATTGGCTTTCAAAGAACTCAGAGTCTGTTGAGAGAAGACTAACACATGTATTATATGGTATGATAAATGCTATGATTGGAGAAGAGGAGTGAGCTAAGGCTGCCCTTGAGGAGGCATCTAATCCACTCAGGTGTGTGGGTATTACAGGAGGTGATGTCAACTAAATAGACAGGTAAGGAGCAGTGAGGAAAAGGGCAGAGAACGCTGCTTGCCTGTTACTTCTCTGGGCCTCAGACTCTGACTTAAATCTTCATTGTCTGTAAAAGGGTCAATAGAACAGGCTGGGACTTGGAAAAAGAGTGTTCTAGAGGCTCTGGAGACCCCAATAATTGCTTGCCCAAGGGCCTCTTCTCCTAGGTGATCCCTCCTTCCTCAAATCTCAGGATCAGCCTGCTGGGCACCCTCTCTGCAGTGTTTGGATTTAAGTGCCCCCAGTGCCCCTGGAGATTAAGGAGATTAAGTGCACCTTCCCCTAGCTTGCTAAGGTCCCACCCTCCTTCCCTCTATCTGTGGCTTGGGAGAGAGTAGGGTAGACAGAGAAGCTGGGCTCCAAGATATGTTTGCTCATAAAGGAAGCCTCTGACCAGAGTGTACAGAGATTTGCAGTTAAAGATAGGCACTGTGGTGGAGCCACAGAAGGAGGAGCAGGTGGAGCCTTGGGCAGTTATGACTGAGCAGATACAGCAATCTCAGGGCTGGAGTTGTGGTTCAGCAGTAGAGCACTTGCCTAGCATGTGCAAGGCCCTGGGTTCGATTCTCAGCACCACAGAAAAATAAATAAAATAAAGGTATTGTGTCCAACTACAACTTAAAAATAAATATGTAAAAAAAAAAAAGAATGAGTACCTTATTTAAAAAAAAAAAAAGTACAGCAATCTCTCAGGCTGGGAGGCTAGTGCTGGTGGGGAGCTTAGCACTGTCTCAGCAACCCTGTGCAGGAGGACCTTGGCCCAACCTGCCAGAGATGCTTATCTCTCCTATTCTAGGTGCCTGGGGTCAGCATCAGACAAAAGTCTGATCCACATAGCTACCAGAAGCAGTGTGGCTGAGCTGTCCCAGGAAGCAGATCCTGGGGTCAGGTCCTCTTATTCTCTATAATGGAGGCTTTGATCGTAGCCTGAGTGGATGCTCATATCTTGCTCCCAGCCTGCCACTAAGCTTTGTTCCTTTATTCACATTATTTATTTTCAATGCAATTATAATTTTTGATTAATTTAAAACTATTCTTAATACTGTGGTCTAGAGAAATCTTGGTCCCATCTCTGCCCCCCTTCACCCCATGATTACACTCTGTAACCATTCTCATTGGTTTGTTTTTTGTTTTGGTAACGGGGATTGAACTCAGGGGTACTTGACCACTGAGCCACATCTCCAGCCCTTTTATGCATTATTTTATTTAGGGACAGGGTCTCACTGAGTTGCTTAGTGCCTTGCTTTTTCTTCTTTTAAATATTTTTATTAGTTGGTGATGGACATTTATTTTATTTATTTATTTACATGTGGTGCTGAGAATCGAACCCAGTGCCCCGTACGTATTAGGCAAGCACTCCACCACTAAGCAACAACCCCAGCCCTAGCACATCACTTTTGCTGAGACTGGCTTTGAACTTGCAGTCCTCCTGCCTCAGCCTCCCAAGCCCCTGGGATTATAGTCATGCACCACTGTGATGGCTTGGTTTGGTTTTGTGTGGCACTGGGGATCAAATCCATGGCCTGCCAGGGCCATACACTTGCTAAAGTGTTCTACCACTGCATTATATCCAAGCCCCTCGTTGGTTATTCATTCATACTTCAGTGATTTTTCTTTTTTTTCAGCTCAAATAAAAAATTTATTCTTGTTCCACTTCCTTTTTTACATGAAAACAAAAATCATTGAGAGTGCTCTTCCCCCGCCTCCTTGTGCTGAGAATGAATCCAGGGCATTGCACATGCTAACCACTCTACCACTAAGCTACACCTCCAGCCCTATACTTCGTTTCTTTTGTTGTTGTTTGTGTTTTAATAAGAAACAGGGTGTTGTTAAATTGCCCAAGCTAGCCTTGAACTTGAAATCTTCCTGACTCAGTCTCCAGAGAGCAGGTTAGACTAAAGGTGTGTGACACCAAGTCTGGTCTGTTTTTTTAACTTAACATCATAACCTGGAGACATTCCCTGTCAATATCTAAAGGACTTCCTCATTCCTTTCTCATGACTATGCAGTACTCCATTGAAAAGATGTTCCTCTGGTCCCTTCTTGTTGGACAAGTGGGTGGTTTTTGATCTTGTGCTGTTTTGAGCAAAGCCACAATGAATAGCTTTGTGCATAAGTCATTTTATACATATACATGTACATTTTATATAGATAGATAGATAGATACATAGATATATGGGTTTGACTCCCAGAAATAGCATTGCTGGATCAAAGGACAAATATACCTAGAATTTAGAAGATATCTCCAGATTTCCCTCTATAAAATGCTGTATCTGAGAACCTGTTACTCTGAGAACCTGTTACTCTCAGAGTATATTGTCAAACTGTTATATTTTTGACAGTCTGAGAGATGAAATATTATATTCTCAGTGTAATCCTTATTTGCATCTCTGCTTATGAGTGAAGTTGAGTATTTTTCCATGTGTTTTAAAGGCCTTTGTGTTTCTTTTTCTGAGAAATATTAATATCCTGTGCCCATTTTTCTATTGGATCATTTGGGCTTTTTCTTTATGGTTGATCTGGGACTCTAGTAGATTTTACTCCTGGAGCACAGGTAGGGGACTTTGGACAGAGAAACACTAAGAAGGGACCCTAGAAGCCCCAGAGATCAGTATAAACTCAAGAATCCTGATGGCTATTATTTGAAAATTAAAAAAAATACATTCTTCCCCATTGTCAAATGAGACCCAGCCCAGAAGAGTGGTATTTCTTAGGTCTAAACTTAAATTGTTCCTTCTACTGACCCTTCTATCAGAGAAGGAAGCTGAGGTTTGAGGCATATGCATCCTACCAAAGAAATACCCACAAATGCATGGTTGAGCCCCAGGTGGCTGAGCCTCTCAGCTTCTATGTCCCTGGAACAAGACTCAATTTCCATAGCTCCTTCTGTGTGTGTGTGTGTGTGTGTGTGTGTGTGTGTGCATGCATGCATGTGTACACATATGCACACATGTGCACACGTGTGCACTCACACATGCATGCACCCTATGGATTAAACCCGGGGCCTTGACCATGCTAAGTATATGTCGTGTCACTGAGCTATATGCTCAGCCCCTCTTTCTCTGTCTTAATACAGCTCTAAAATGGTCTTTGTGGGGAACAAATTAGAACCCTGCACAGAGCAAACTGGAAGGAAAGCTGAGCTTTCTTGATTCCTCCCTTCAATCAAGGGATGAAGGAATAACTCAGCCAATCAGAAGCCTTCTGCTTGTCCCTTTTAGGGCCCCCAGAGAGAAGTGAGTGGGAGGCAGCTTGGAGGTCCCCTGGAGGAGGGAGCATGTTGGGAGAAAGGTGGGGCTGTCACCCTGGAAGGCTGGCAGCTGCTCCCTATCCCTGGAAGAGAGCTTGCAGAGAGTAGGAGCCTCTCCTCCCGCTCTCTTCCCACCAGTTTCCACTCCTTGTGTGGGATACAGAAAACCTCATACACATGCAGGTCTCTGGCTCCCAAGGGTCACTGTGTCTCACAGAATGCATTCTTCCCTGGTCTGAGAGGAAGCCAGTTCATGGTTTCCTACAGTTTTGGATTTTTTTCTCAGCATCCTCTCCCTGCACCAAAAATTAAAACCTCAGCACAAAGAATAGATGCCACATCATCTCCCTGGGGAGATCCACTGCAGCATCCTCCAAACCTTTCAGCTGGAACTGCTGTTTTGAAGTCAGACTTCCCTCTCCACCTCTGCCACCAAAATCTTTTTCCTCATAGTCCTTCCTAAAGGTGGTGAGCCAGCTGTAGTTCTCCCTTGTTCCCAATCCTTGCCCTAACTTAATTCAGATTAGCATAGGGGGCATGCCTCCACCAGCTTCTAGTCTTTTTTCCTTTCCTTTCTCCTTCTCCTCCTTTTTCATGCTGGGGACATACTTTACCATTGAACTACATCTCGGGCCCCTCCTAATCATTTGCATAGGACCTAAAAGGAGAAGAACCTGATTCCCGTTGCCCCTGAAGGCCTCTGCACCCCCCCCCCAACTCCAAGGGTCCCCTTCTTTCAGTAAACTGGCTTTGTGAAACTTCTCTTGCAGTTGCATCTGTTGGCAGGTTAATTATCTAATTAATCTCATAAGGAATCTTCTCTTTAGCACATTCAGTCTTTCCAGGGGCCTATTCATCTTGAGCTGCAGCTCTCCCTGAGAAGTTGCCACAGACATTCAGGAAGGTCCATCTCTGGGGTCCTGCTCTAGGATGGAATCCCCACCCTACCTGCCTTATGTATCCAGTCTCAATTTTTAACTCTGGTTTTCTACTTGTCAACCCTTAGGGGAGAAAGGAGTATACAGAAGGGACCCATCAGGTAGCAATCTCAGGGCAGTGTTAGAGGCATTGATCTCCGGTCGGCAGGTGGGCTTCAGGACCATGGAGAGCTCACTATGCTTTGTGGTGCCATTAAGGAGCATCAGCTAAAAGCCAACAGTGCTAGCTAGGCACTGAGCAAAGGAAGGAGTGTGTCAAGTGAGGCCCTCTGGCCAAGCCCTCTTGGGAGCTTACAACAAATGTGGGAAATTGAAAATGGAACACGTTTCCCCAGGAGATAATCAAAGGGTTGTTAGAATACAGGAGATGAGGGGAATAGTTCCTGCTTGCTGGAAGGCTAGCAAATCAGGAAGGCTTCTTAGAGGAGGAGATACTTCAGTTGAGTATTGGGAGATAGGATTTCATCAGGCCTAATAACGAGCTCAGGGCTGAGATCTTAGAGGCACTTAATAAATGTGCTTGTTGAACAAAGCACTGGATGGATGGATGAGGGGGCAAAATGTCACAAGGCAGATCTAACCTCCAGATGTGCACAAGACCAGACAGTGACCCTGGAGGTCAGTCAATGTGACCTGCTTTGTCCTGGCTTGGGTGCAGGAAAGCTGTAGCACTGAGCACCTCCATTCCCTCTGGGCCTGGCCTCCTTGGGGACAGATGGAAGGCTTCTGGTGCAGTGGCAGGTGAAAGCACTCTCAGTCTGCTGGGAGGAGGCTGGGGAGCTCTCATGGCTGCTCTAACTCCTGCACTGGCTTGGGTGTTACAGGAGTGGGCAGATGCTTGCTGCAGGGGACTCCGGAGTGTCCATGCCTACATCCTGGTCTACGACATCTGCTGCTTTGACAGCTTTGAATACGTCAAGACCATCCGCCAGCAGATCCTGGAGACGCGGTAAGGGGCTATGATTCCATTTAATTTAATGAATGCTCCAGTGCTAACCTACCCCAGAGGAAAAGGAATAGTGGTGAAGTGTATGTGCCCTCTGGTTCTCACATACCCATTCAAATAGCACATACTCATATTTTTCTGTCCCTACTTCTGTTAACTCATTTTGGGATCCTAACTGTGGGGTGTTTAGGATAGTGGAGTGGTTAAGAGCATAGTCTCCAGGAACAGGACTTCCAGGATCACTCAGCTGCATGCCTATAGGTCAGTTAACATATAAGGCTCAGTTTCCTCATCTATAAAATGGAGATACAATAATATTGGGTCAGTTGTATTGATTAGAGAATATAACTCAACCCAAGGACTTAAAGCTGTACCTGGAACAGAACATACTGTAGTGTAGAGTCCAGTGAAACTGAAGAGAGTTCTGAGATTCTTGCCTCACCCTTCAGGGTTATTGGTACCTCCGAGACACCCATCATCATCGTAGGCAACAAGCGGGACCTGCAGCGCGGTCGTGTGATCCCACGCTGGAACGTGTCGCACTTAGTGCGCAAGACCTGGAAGTGTGGCTACGTGGAATGCTCAGCCAAGTACAACTGGCACATTCTGCTGCTCTTCAGCGAGCTGCTCAAGAGCGTCGGCTGCGCCCGCTGCAAACACGTGCACGCTGCCCTGCGCTTCCAGGGCGCTCTGCGCCGGAACCGCTGCGCCATCATGTGATGCACAGGCGCCCTGCACAGCCACAGGCTGCAGACCCGCTGGCCCCTGAGGAGGGCAGGGTGGTGCTGGGGCTGCTTCCAGGACTGGGGCTGGAGGCGGGAGCCAGCAGAATAGAACTCTGAAGGTCCTGGCCTGAGGCACCCCACACGTGCTCTGAGAGGCAGAGGGCAAGGGGGAGCTTCCGCTAACTACTCAGTACTCCCCTTCTCCCACGGTTGTCTTCCTGGGGCAGCCACCTTCAGTGCTGTAGTTAGTGCGGGGCCTGGCCTGACCTGAAAGTGCACCACAGCCATTTGAGATTGGGGGTGAGTGTGTGAAATGGAGGGTGGGGTGAGGAGGTGCTACCTTGGCCAGGCCCCCACTTATCTTTTCCAGAGTGTGTCTGTCTTTGCCCAGTGTCTTCCTTTTCCGTGTCTGTCTGTCCAAGCGTCTGTCAGTCCTCACCTGTCTTATCCACCCTCCAATCCCCCTCCCCGCCCCCCAGCTCCACTCACAGGGCTCTCATTTCATCCATCCCCTTTTCGAAGATCCTGGCATCTTTTTGATGCCAGGCCTTCTGACTGTCAGCACCACTGGCACAGGGCAGAGAGAGGCAGGTGGCCCAAGGATCCAGATCAAGGGGTCCAAGGGTTGAGGTCCCAGATCAGTCAGGGGGAGAAGGCTGAGCTCTCCTGCTTTCAGGGAGACCTCCCTGCACAGCAGCCCCCAGAGACACAACAACCTACCTTCCAGCCTTAACTCGATGGTCCATCCCTGCCGGGTGCCCCTCACCCTTTTCCTGATCCCAAAGCCAGATCACCTCCTGGGTTAAAACTTTTTGTTTTTTGGGCAGAGCATGGAGAGGGAATCCCCCAAAGGATAGATTCCTTTCCATGACGCCAAGTTCCAGTCCTCTATTACCTCCTGCACTGGGTGGTCTGCCAGATTGGGGGATGTCAAGTTCTGGGGGGCTGTTGGTGGTGGGCAGGATGGTGCCCAGGAGGGGGTCAGGTTATGCCTGTGACCATTGTGTCTCCCTGTCCCATCTCAATCTGACAACCCCAGACTCTGCCTGCCTCAGCTCTCAGATTACCTTTATTAATCTGGGCAGGATCAGAGCCAGGAAAAGAATTATGGGAACCCCTGTGCTTGGGGGAGATACGCCTGCATCTCCACCCATAGGTGGACACCCTCAGGATCTGACACCCCTTTGTCCCAACAGCAGTTGGCCCTATGCCCTAACTCACTCCGCCCCCATTTTCTCCGGCTGCCTGGCCGGGTTTCTACCTCTCGTCACCGGAGCTGATCACTGTCAGTTTTGTACCGATTTAGAAAAAACAATAATAAGATTATAGGGATGGCTTGAGGGATTGCTGGGGGATTTGGAGGGAGGGAGAAGGGGTGCCATGTTCCCCACCCCCAGCCAAAGGAAGTTCTCCTTGAGGCTGAGCCCTCAGCCCTGGTCTGGTGGGAGGATATCAAGGTCCCTTGCTAAAAGAGGGAAACAAATAACAATCCAGCCTTAGGTAAGGCTGAAGCACATAGACCAGGAAATCAAGTAGCCCAGAGCAGTGATGGAGGCGAGTCTGGAGTAAGGGCTGTGGGTGGGGAATTTATTATGGATATTCAGTAAGGGAGGGAATCTGTGATTCTCTCCAGCTCCCCCCACCCACCGATTCCCACTCCCTCCACTCGCTGGAGGCAGCACAGCCCTAGAGCAACAGCCCTGACCTTGGGCAGTCCAGTATTCCTGGGTTCTAGTCTCACTGTGCTACTTGCTTTGGGCAAGTGACTTGCTCTCTCTGAGCCCCGCTCTAAAACAGAGGAGGTGGCTCCCCTTCCCCACACTTTTAGGAGTGGCTGGGAGGGTAAGGAAGAGGGCCTGCCTCCTCCTGTCTCCTGTGCCCCCACCTCCTGGCCCAGCGGGAGGTAGGGTTAAGGATGACAGCATCTCATCTGCCCTATTACCCACAACTCTGAGGTTCCTGAGGTGAGGGTGGGGACCCAGGCCTCTGGCTGCCCCCGTGGGAGCCATGGGAAAGTACCCTCTGTCCAACCCCTCTCACCACCACCACTTCACTCCAGGTCTTGGATTTCAGGTCCCTCTGCACCCATTTTGAGTCTCTGTCCTCCCCCAATTCCCCCACCAGGGTTTCCCACCACAGGGTCTGGAAGTGTGTGTGATGCCCATTGAGCTGTTATTGGAAGTCAGATTAAAAATCAGGGAGTGTTTTCCCTTGTTTCTGTACCAAGGTGTCGACTGGCTTTTCCTCATGGAGGGAGGGAAGTGGAGGGTGCCTGCCTTCTGAGCTCTGTGTGAAAGAGGAGTGAGGGTAATGAGATAGCCCTCAGTCCCAAAGGCCAGGTCAACCAAGAGATCAAAGGATAAGAGTGGGAGACTTCTCCTTTTCACCCAACCCAAAACCCTTCAATTCACGGAAACCATCCAGGAGGGAAACAACTTTTCTGCTTGCCACTCTCTGGAAATTTTTCATAACAAGACTCAGCCCCAACTGCTTCTGCATCTGTTCCTTCCCATTCAGGGCTGAGATTCTGTGGTCTCTCAATCTTAACTTCTTGGACATAAATGTGTTAGGAACACTCTGCACCAACCAGTTGACCCTTCAGAGCTTTGGAGTCCTTGGCAAGGGTGGCCTGAAGAAGCCTTTGCATTGGGCTGCCCTTGTCCCTCTCTATGGTGTTGACAGCCTGCCACCTCCAGGAAAGAGAAGACTGTTGGGCAAGGTGGGCTGAACCCGAGTAGAGAAAGGCTCCCTCCACCTTGTCCCCACCTGTCGCATGGGATAATGCTTGAAGACACACCTTCCTGAACCTCCACAATGCTGAGGGACTCAAGAAGCTTGGGGCTCAAGGACAGATTCCACATGTGTTGAAAAACTTACAGTTGTGGAAACAGGTGGGCATGGCCAGAGGCCAGGAGTTAGGGAGCTTATTTGAGGGAGGACAATAAGATATAGGATCACCCCACTACCCCTGGCCTAATGCTGGAATAGAAATAGTATGTTGCCTGTTTGCTCATCTGAACAGTTTGAGTCTATGTTTATCATCTGGTCTGCCCCTGGCCAAGGCCCTGTTTTGAGGTGAGGGAATTTCCCTTCTCTTCTCAAATACTTGGGCATTCTTTTGCTTCCTTTCTCCCCAATCCTTAGGCTCCTCAGACCCAAGATTCTTCCTCTGGTAGGAGTGGGACTTGATTCAGCTGCCTTACTTGAGGCTGGGGGCTGCTTTGCTTGGGGGTGACTGGCTCTTTCTTCTCCTTGCCCGCTGAAGCTCCATCCATCTGAGATGCCTCCCCGTCCTGGCTGCCCAGTGCAACTCTCAAGAGCTTGCCCTTGGGGGGCGCCCTGGCCAAACCCAGATGGAGGTAGGCCAGTGGCTTGGGGATTCGGGAAGGCCGTTTCTCAGGTCTGTGGTCTCTCCGGGGCCGGATTCTGGGCCTCAGCTTCAGCTTGTAGATGGACGGGATTCTCTGGGGCTTCCGGAGTGTTCTCTTGCCTTTGCCCAGGCATGCCTTGGCTTTGTCAGAACTGGGGGCCTCCAGGCTGGCAGACACAGTCGGGCCTGAGCAGTCCTGCCTTCTTGGAGGTGAGATTTCCCTCATCCTGGTGCCCATGGCACTTGGGTTTGCTCTTGCCCTTGGCTCACTCTCTCTGGCTCCTAGCTCCCCTTTTGGGTTTCCAGGGCCTGTGCTAACAGTTGGCTTAAGGGAGTTTCTAGGGACTCCCTTCCAGGCTTCCAGATCCACTTTAAGAAGGAGTGGGGGTCCCTGAGCCAGTTCTTGGATGACTTTGTCATAAGGACCTCCAGGCTCAGGCCACTGCCCGCCCAGACTGGGGACATAGACTCCACTACGAGGGATAACTCGAGACCTTGTACTCTGGGGATGGGCACCCCCCACCTCTAGTAGCTTCATGTTGGCCACAATGTCCTCTTCAAGGCTACAGTAGATGTCTTTCTCTTTGATTCTGCCCAAGGCCAGTGGTGTGGACCTCCCTTCCCACTCCTGTTGGCTCAGGCCCTGGGGTGCTCCCGTCTCTGGAGGGACCTGGTTGTTTGTCTGCTGGTCTCTCTGCCTCGCTTCTACAGAGCAGTCCCCATGTCTGGACCTAGCCAGGTCCCCAGCGACAACCCTTAATGGACTGGGGCCTCTCTCTGGTTCTGCCATGGGACCTCCACTTGCAGTGCCTGGAAAGCTGCTTCCTGGGGTGGAGGGGTGGGCAGGGGACCACTGGATGGGGATCCTGGTGAGTCCTTTGACAGGGGATGGAGAACGAACTGATGCCAGTTCCCTGAGTTGGGGGGAAGCACCCTCAGCCTCACTCTGAAGTGGCAGCCTGAGGCCTGAGGGCTGGGCTGCGCCAGAGGGACAAGACAGGAGAGAAGGTCTTCTTACTAATGTCCCTTTGGTGGTGGCCTCTTGGAGTCTCTTGGGGGTAGGGACCCTGGCATGGATTCCCTGGCTGGATTTCTCCTCATGAACCCAAGATGTGGGAGTCCTTCCCCTGGAGAGGTCACTCGGGGATTTGTCCTCTCTCTTCCCTAATGGAGTGCATTGTGGGTCTCGACTCCTGTGGGTAGATGAGAATTGGGGGCTGCGTGGACTGCCTCCTGCTGGTAGCTGCCTTCGAGATGGGGTGAGTAGCCTTTCCTGGGACCTGAAAATGAGAATCACAGGCTGGAAGGGGAGACTTATCCAGGCAGGAGGGTCATTGAGTGCAGTCCCCCGGCTCTGGGAAGAATGGCCTCTCCCCCACTGGGACTCCTGCTGGCTAGACTTCATGCTGAGTGGGACAAATGCACCTTCTCCCCCATGACTGTCCCAAAGTTCCCCTTATGTCAGTCCCTGATGAAGTCTATTCTCCTGGTTCCCTGAATATCAAATAGGAGGAAACCTGTTCCAGGCTTGTGGTGACTTCAGATTCTTTGAGTGATGACCCAGACCAGAGAGGTCTGATAACCAGAGGACACCTGTCTTGAGGGTAGGTTTTAGTCTCAGCTCTACCATGAAGTGGCAGAAGGACCTTGGCTTTGTTCCCTTTCTGGGCCTCAGCACCCTTGTTTATGAAATGGGTGGGCATAGGAAGTACCTAAATGATCCCAAAGTAATGGGAGCTATCTTGATTCCAAATATCTGAGTTGTTTTGTTTTGGGCATGGGGAAGGGGAAGGGGGTGGTGCTGTTCCCTTTATCTGAGGTGGGGCAGCCTCTGAGAATATGCACTCCAAAGAAGAAAGAGGCCCTTCCCCATCCCTCTCCTGTACCTTAGGAATGAAGCCATCTCTCTGAGGTCCCCTGCCCCCACTCCCTGTTCATTGCAGGGTCTGGGAGAGGGGGAAGTAGCAGGCTTCAACCTTTGGCCTGAAGAGGTGTATGTCTTCCAGTCGACCGGAGGCGGCTTCGGGCTCTGTGAGCGGCTGACGGTCATTGTGGGCTGGAGCCGCAAGGGTCTCTCCTGCACCCTCACTTTATGCTGCACCAGTGAACCTGGGGGCTTCAGGAAGCTGCCCTGTTTGTGGGCTACCAACCCAGTATCCCAGAGAAAGAGAGGAAGGAAGGGTTCAATGCTGATGGGACTCACTGTTACCCTTGCCCAGCTGTGCTTTGCCCTCATCCCACTTTAAAGATAGTAGGGCCTACAGTGGCAGCACTAGTTTTTTTACAGGAAAAGTTTAGGGGACACAATCTGGTCAGAGGGCCCAGCTGAGGGCCTTGTTTCAAGCTGTGTATTGTATTGCAGGTTTAAGACTTTTACGTAGATTCTATGTTTATCTGGGGAAGCCTGAGATGTTGAAGGAGATCATGAAGGACTAAAGACCATGCTTGGTGCCACCACTGCGCCTAAGCTCTGCCTAGGTGCACTGCTGACCAAATGCCGATTCTGCATGTGTTGCACCCCACCTTGTGGCTGTAGTGAGTACTGCACCACAACTGTCCCACCATAGGGGCACACCTCCCATCTCTGCTGCTGGCCTCCTAACCCAGCGCTACACCTCTCCAACCCGCCAGCCCCACAGGGAGAAGACTCTTAGGTGACTCACAGAGGGATGTACACCGGCAGGGGTCATGTTTGTCCAGATAATGGCTAAGCGTGTCCCAGCCGCCCCCTACACGCACCATCACATGGTTCCGGAGGATCTGAGGGGGCAAGGGTGAGGTTAAGGGCAGGGTGGAGGGCATCCCCTCTTCCTGGACCCTCTCAAAGGCCTCTGAAACACACTCAGGGATATGCCCATTCGTGTGCTGATCACACACAGGCACTCCCTTGCACACGTGTGGCTGGGAGCGGGCATATTTTGCAGTCTGGTCACCTCCATATGTTGTCAAGGGTGGGGGCAAAACTGGCCAACAGAAAGTTCTCCCCCAACTAGACAAGGGACCACATGGGCATCAGGTAGTCAGGCCTCAGCGCACTCCTTTCTCTTGCTTCCCTACAGAGGGGCTGGCTCCTGCCCTTGATTGTGTCTGAAATGGGTCCCAACTGCCTCTGGCTTGCCTCTGTGATGTTTGTGACAGAACCTCTGAGAGTCCCGCCCCACTCCACACTGGGGCAAGTCACATACTCTCTCCAGGCTTCAGTTTCCTCAGTTGAAAAGTGGGGCCACCATCTGTTGCCCCTGCCTATGTTACAAGGCTATTGCCCCAGGCTCTGGGTGAAGGCTCAGGTTTCTGGCTCTGCTCCCAGGTGTGGCCTGTGCTCAAGGAAAGGGTTTGGCCATGTCCCTGGGCACAGACCACTTCTGGTGAGGTGCACCCAGGTATCAGGAGGTTTATTATCCAATGGGAGGCACATCTCAGCTTGTACTGCTCCTTTGCAGAAATGTATAGAGCCAGCCATATGAGGGGAGACTCTGGGGTACATTGTGCCTGGGGTACATGAACACAGATTTAGGGTTCTCAGGCCCCTTGCTCTGACCAAACCTGGGGGTGGAGTAGAATGGAATGTAAAGTGAGGGTACCTTCCTCATACCCCACTTGTTCTTGAGGGTACTCTCTAGACTGGGCTACAATGGAGGTAATGGCAGGTACTGGTTCCAATTTCCCTGATGGAAGGAGAGGATAGGCTTGCTAACTTTGCCAGGAATGTCCTGGAAATCTCCAAGTAGAAGGAAAGCTCCAAGGCTTGATGGCTTGGGGGGTATGGTGGCTTTCTGTCCTTGCCCTTAATCCTGGCCAACATCTGTGAAAAGAAACCCTATTCTGCTGAGAGTAGCCCCCCCCCACCCCAGACCATACTTACCCGTATGAAGATGAGGGTGTTGGAGTCCCCTACTTGGTACTTCCCCTCAGACAACTTGACCATGGAGAACTGCACTGGGCATGTACAGTGGCTCACCAGGCTCTGCACCTGCAATCAATGGACAGAAGGCTCAGTCCTTCCCTCTGCTGGGCACCCAAGTCCCCTCCCCTACTCTGGGTTAAATTAAATGGGATCCTCCCTGCTTCCAGAGCCACCCCTGAGTTTGCTGCTGAGGTCAGGGCTGGGGGCTGAGAAGCAAGTAGAGGGTGGAGAAGACCCAATGAGAAGACCAGGAGCAGCCATCTATGTCCAATGCCCTTGAGGGTCAGCTGATGGAGGTGGTGGTGTAATGGCTAAGTAAGTGGACTGCAGAATCTGGTAAACCTGTCAGAGTCCAGTTTCCACTCCATCATAGGCCTTTAGTTAAGTTTCCCTGAGCTCCCTCTCTTCCAATGGAAGAAATGGGGTTAATCACAACAAGCGCACCCCATCCTATGAAGTGTCCCCTCTCTGCAGACTATTCCACATGCTGCATGTGCTGGTCCATTAATACAGCAGTCATGGAAGGTAGGTGCTGTTGAGGTCCCTATGCTACAGGTGAGGGAACTGAGGCACAGAGATTAAATAATTTGCCCAAAGTCACATAGTGGTGAAGTGGTGGAACTTGGCCTTGAGCCAGAGTGTTGGAGAGGATGCTGCAACATCCCTGTTCTTCACACCCATCCCACCGGGGGCTGAATGAGAGCCAAGCAGGGCCGAGCTGGTTAAAAAAAAAAAAAAAAAGTGATACGTGACACTTATTATAGCTATTGCAGCAGCGTGTGGTTAACATGTGGTTAAGGTTGAGGCTCAGAGTGGAACGTGACTTAAAGCCACACAATTGGGATTAGAGCGCAAGCAGTGGATGGCCCAAAGAGGGCTGGCTGGGATGGGGGAGAGGGGGTGTGGCGAAGGACCTGAGGGCGCGTGCTGGGCACCTCACCATCTGGTCCAGGTTACGGAAGTGGCAGGGATGGCGCTTGGGAGGCGCAGGCGGTGGGGGGTCGGGTGGGGGCAAGGCCAGCTCATGTCGCAGCTCCTCATCGATCTCCTCCTCCAAGTGCACCAGAGTGGGTGCCGCCACGCCGAAGCGCCAGGCGCGACGGCCCAGTTCCAACAAGCACAGCACCACATTCTTCACGTTCTTGCGCAGCACTAAGTCCTCAGTCTCGAACATCAGCACCTCTGGTGTGGGGCGGGGGAGAAGCGGCACAGACTGCGTGAGTCCCCCACTGACCTCCTAGTGGGAGCACTGGGGTCTTCCCGAGACCCAGGTAGCAGATTTGGAAAGAGGGCTCAGGTCTCAGGATCTTGGGGTGATTGACAGCCAGCAGGAGGGGGTCTGGGAAGCTTGGTCAGCTGCTGAGTGCAGACAGGGCAGCCAGCCTCACAGTGGAAGCTGGGACTGGGAAGAGGTGGATGAACAACAAAGGAAGCATGAGCCTGGATGTGGGCTGTAGAGAAAAGGGTTCCCTCAACCTTGCCCTTATCCACACTCAGCTACCAGGCTGAGTCCAGGAACAGGAAGCAGTTTGTCCTGCTTCCCACCAGGGTTTTTTACCTCCCCCATCCACTGTGCGCCTAGACTCAGCCCCCAGCCCAGGTCAAGCCAGTCTGGGTCAAGCACAGGCTCTGCACATGCTGCCTTATAAGGCTGAGTCCTAACTCTCCCACCTACCAGCTGTGTGACTTGAGTCTCAGTTTTCTCTTCTACAAAGTGGAGATGTAGTCTATTTCATGGGGTTATTGTTAGGATTGGATAAGCTAATCGTTGTTGGCATTTACAGATAATATCTAACACAGGGTAAGTGCTCCATAAAACGCCTGTTTATTTTATTTATTTAGTGATGCTGGGATTGGACCAGGACATCATGCCTGACAGGCAAGCAATCCACTTCTGAGTTAGACCCTCAGCCCAAACACCAGTTTTATTAACCCTCCAATCCTGCTCCTCAATACCTTGCCACCAGCCAAGAGCCTAACTTTGACCCTTTTCCTGCCTGACTCCTACCATCTTTGGCCTGGAGGATGGCACAACATTCAGGCACATCCTATTCCTGAGTCTAAGTACAATGAGATGACAGATCCTGACATGTCACTCCCCTGAATCCGGCAAGCCCCAGCATGCCTGCGTCCCTCCCTACCATTGTTTGTTGGGCTTCTTGCCTCCGCTTCACCCTCCCCCACCCCATGTCCCAGCCTCTCACAATCATCCAAATGCAGCACCTTTTCTGTGCCTTTGTCACTGCTGTCCATCTGCCTAAAATTCTCTTTTCCCCAAACTTCTCAAATCTCCTTAAGATTTAACCCAAATCGCCTTCCTCTGTGTAACCTTGCTGGGCTCCCACTTCTACATCACCAGGTCACTGATTTCTTTCCTGGTTCCCTGGCACATTCACCTGGACTTGGAGCATCCATCACCTGGGCTATAATTTTTGTATCTATATGTCTTGATAGATCATGAATTCCTTGGGTAATGGGTCTCAACCCCCTCACTTCTTGATGCCCAGCAAGGTGCTCAATACAGAATAGGTGCTTCATGTATGTTTGTTGTATGAATCATCAATAATTATTTGGGGAGGATTTGCTAAGCAATGGGGAGACGGAGGATGAAGAGAGGTGAGTCAAACCTGTAAGGAACACCCAGGCTCCTCACCCCCAGATCTAGCCTAGCCCTCAGAGAGGGGATGAACACCCCACAAGATAAGGGTCTGAGATAGGGTGGTTACCTTGGATGCCCATCTCCTTGCGGCACCACTGGATGAAGTTGGAGACATTGTCCCTGGCCTGGAAGGTACGCGGCTGGGCGGCCCCATTGCAGGAAACCCCAGTCCGGGGCATGGGAATCCTTTGGGCTTGGACAGGTTCCTCAGCCAGGAAGGCCAGAGCAGCCTCAGTGACGTTGTTGGCATGCTGGCAGAGCACCAGGCCCGTCTCCAGAACTTGCAGGAAGTTGGCTGCGTCAATGTCTAGCCCGTAGAGATCCCGCAGCCACTCAGCCAGGTCTTCCTTCATGGCCTCCAGGTACTGCTCACTGGACTTGAAGGGCCGGATGCTGCGCACAGGAAGCCCTGGGGTCCCAGGCCTCCTCCTGTATTCCCCCTGCTGAGACATGGCTGGCACTGCAGCTGGGGGGAGGTGGGCACCTCTGCTCTCCCGCTGCTGCCTCTATACTCCTGCTACCTGCTAGGTCTTGGCCCAGACCTCCTGGATTCGGGGTAGGGGAGGTCCCCTTCCACCTTCGGAGAGCCCAGGACTTCCGGCTCTGCTGCTTGCTGCTGGCTTTAGCCTCTGGGCTGGGCCCTCGGCTCCCCCACATTCCTTAGTCCCTGCCAGAACTTTCCCTACTTGGTGGCCTTGCAGCAACTTCACCCTCAGGCTGCCCAGCCCACTCAGAGTTCAGTACCTCCTGGGACGGGGGAGGTGAGGACACTTCTCTCGCCCCCAGGGCTGGACGGGTCAGTCTGGCTGCCTCCCACCCGCCACTACCAGTGGCCGGGGAACTTGGCATGGCCGTCAGCCTCCCTGCTCTGCTTTCCTCTCCTCTCCTTGGAGACAGATTTGCTACAAACACTCCTCCTTAACCCTTCCGGCAGGCACTGGCTGCCAGGCACAGCCGGCCCTGGAGAGCTGGTAGAGCTCGGCAGAGAGGCTCGGGATGGCTTTTCTCACCAGACTGATCCCAGTGGGGGCTTCTGGGGCGTGGGGGAGAGAAGCAGGGCTAGGGCTAGGGCCCCTCGTGGCGAGCACTGGAGGAAGAGTGTGAAAGAGATACAGCAAAAGAGTTCAAAGACAGAGGAGTTTTATTGAAATCTCTGTGCAAGAGGCATGACTCCCTAGCCTCTCTGTGCTTTAGTTTCCCAACTGTAAAATGGGAGTGGTAATGTCTAGTTCCCTGGGGTGTTGTGAGGAATAAAGAAATAATGTGTGAAAGTGTCAGACCATCAGAACTCGGGTACCGTTTTGGGTGGGACCCAGCTCTTCATGATTCTCCCAGCACCCCTGTCCGCACCGTGTTTCTCACCTTCTCTGGAGAACCTGCTCCATCCCTTGCTAGAACTTGCTCCATCCCATCTTCTAGAACTTGCTGTCAATCACAGTGCCTCACTCCCATGGCCATAGCTATGCATTCTTGAGCACCTACCATGTGCCAGACACCACTGTAGGCCTGAGGATACAGCAAGAAACAAAAAAAGATCAGGTGTCTGTCATCATGGAGGCTACTTGCATTATGGATGACAGATAAATAAATCTAGGGTAAGTAAGATGGCAATAAAGACCAGGGAGAAAAGTAAGGCAGTAAAGGAGAGATGAAGATATGGGGGGATTTTATAAAAGGTGGTCAGGGAGGGTCTTACTGAGAGCATGACAGTTAAGCAGATACCTGAGAGAAGTGGAGAACTGAGACTCACAACTATCTGCAGGAACAATGCTTGGGCGGAGGGAACAGCCAGTGCAAAATCTCCGAGGTAGGAGCTTGGATAGCATATTCTAAGAATAGCAAAGAGAAGAAGGATATGAGGCTGAGAAGAATTGGGGCCCCAGATCATGCAGGGCCTTTGGGAAACTCCAGAGATTTTGGCTTTTTCTCTGTGTGAAATGAAAAATACTCTGGAGAGTTTTGGGTAAAGGAAGGACTTTCTATAGCAGGTTGCTGAGTGGAGAAGGACTGCAGGACCAGAGGTGGAGGGAGGCAAGAGTTCATCTACTGCCATCATGCAAGGAAGAGCAAGGACCAGGTGGGCCAAGAACTCACATTTCTTGCAGTACTGGGGATGGAACCCAAGGCCTCATGCATACTAGAGACTCTACCACTGAGCCACACCTCCAGACCTTTTTATTGATTTTTCTTATTTCAAGACAGAGTCTAAATTGCCTAAGCTGGCCTTAAACTTGCAATCCTCCTGCCTCAGCCTCCTGAGTAGCTGGAGTAAAAGGCATGTACCACCATGTCCAGCCTTTATAACTCTTGAAGAATTCACAAGGTTGGTTCAAAACACCGTTTCTCAGCCTTGGCATTGTTAATACTTTAGGCTAGATATTTCTTTGTTGTGGGGGCTGTCCTATGCATTGTAGGACATATAGCAGTGTCCCTGGCCTCTAGGCATTAAATGCTAGTAGTATCCCCATTCCCCATAATGTGTGAAACAAAATGTCTGCAGATATTGTCAAATGTCCACTGGGGCAGGGAGGAATCCTTTCCTCACCTACCTGAGAGATACTGATGTAGGAGGTGAGCATGAAACTCAAGTTAGTTCAAACAGAGCCTTTCCCTGGGCATTTCATATTGGAGCTATAGGAGCAGGTTTTTTTCCCAATCAGACTTTATGGATATAGATCTGAATCCATATTCCCAGGACACAGAAAAGTCCTTCTGCAATAGGGAAGAATGAAGCTGTTACACAAAGAGCACACAGATGGAGGGAGAGAGAACCTGAGGATCATTTGCTGTCAGTCACAGGCAAATGAATTCATCCTGCTGTTTTCAGGCCAACCATTATTTAGTGGCAGGCTAAGTTGCTATGATAAAAATCAACCTAGGCGGGGGATATAGCTCAGTTGGTAGAGTGCTTGCTTCGCATGTACAAGGCCCTGGGTTCAATCCCCAGCACCAAAAAACAACAACAATAAAAACCTCCTACCACCCAACACAGTGGCTCATAGGGAATAAAAGATTATTCCTCGGGGCTGGGGATGTGGCTCAAGCGGTAGCGCGCTCGCCTGGCATGCGTGTGGCCCGGGTTCGATCCTCAGCACCACATACCAACAAAGATGTTGTGTCTGCCGAGAACTAAAAAAAAATAAAATATTAAAAATTCTCTGTCTCTCTCTCTGTCTCTCTCTGTCTCTCTCTCTCTCTCTCTGTCTCTCTCTGTCTCTCTCTCTCTCTCCCCCCTCTCTCACTTTCTAAGAAAAAAAAAAAAAAAGATTATTCCTCCCCCTCAGAGGTAGGCAAGTGGTGCTTCCCGTGAGCTTGAACAGACACCCAGGTTCTTTCTATCTTGTCACTCTCTTTGGCTATTGTTGTTATCTAACCAATCAGTTCTGACTTCCCAGGACTTTGAATCCTCCCATGTTAAGAAAGAGAGAACAGAGAGCTTCCTTATAAGAACACAATGTGAGGTTAGGAATGGAGCTCAGTGGGAGAGCACTTCTTGCCTAGCACATATAAGGTCCTGGGTTTGATCCTCAACACAGCAATAAAAATAATAACAATAATGCAGAAGTTTCACACTCCCTTCCGTTCTGACACTTTTGATCACAATTTAAGCATCTCGCCATACTGAGTTGCAAGGCAGGCTGAAACTGCAGCTGGTGATCACATGTCCTTTTACTAAAGGAAACAATGGAGACAAGGGATCACTTACACTCCTGGCCATAGGAGAGTCTCAAAGCAAAGCCTTTCTCTGACTTTAATTCAGTTTGTGTAAATGGCCACAGAGCAAATATTTTAAGCTTTTGAGAGTCACATACTCTCTGTGTCACATATTATTCTTTGTTTTTCTTTTTTTTCTTAAACCTTTTAAAAATAATATGAACTATTCTGAGCTCAAGAGTCAGTCAGAAATAGGATAGGTGTGGATTTCGACTCTGGCTTGCCAACACTTAGATTACATGAATCAATAAATTCCTTTTTTAGTCTTCTTCTTTACTTTTTGATCATAGAACAGGATTTTTTTTTCTTGATACTGGGGCTTGAAACCCAGGGTCTTACATATGCCAGGCAAGGGCTCTACCCCTTAGCTATACCCCTAGACTCAGGAATTTAAATAGATGTGTTAGATAGAAGAGAACTGTAATAAGCATCCAGTTAATTCTGAAGGGGAGTTGGGTGGAAATGCATGCCATTGGAAGATTTAATGACATGCATAAAATTTGAGCTGGGATTTTTGTAAGCAATGAGAAAATCTGTGCTCCCTCTTTTACTAGGTCAGAGAACATCTTAAGTAGTCAGAAGACACAGAAGGAGTGGTGACAGAGAAAGGGTACACCCACCCTTTTATCTTTAAGCTAGTTTGAGTTAGTCTGCTGTCAGTCACAGGCAAATGAATTTGGAAGAAAAAAATACAGTGAACAAGGTGGAGTTCTCCCCCTCCTGCCTGTAATCGATAAAGGGCGTGCATTACGTGGCAGAGATTCTGAACCTGGAAGCATGTTTGGGAAGTTTCCCACCCAGAAGGATCCTGGAAGTTCAACAGGCCCCACCCCAGATGTGACTTTGGTTCAACCAATCAAACCCACCCACCTGGGCCAAGAGAGGGAGCCAGTGGCACCCAGAAGAGCAAAGAATCCATTCTGGGGACAGCCATGGTGACATACACACCTGGTTCCCAGAACTGTAGGGGCAGCAGTCAAGGATTCAACCCTTCATGATCCATGTTCTTTGGCAGAATTTTAGGTATGGATCTGGACTCCCAGATTGCCTTTGTCCTGCCTGTATGGAAAGCCCAGTTCTTCTATCTTCTTGGTGATTCTATGGGTCTAGACAATATCCTTTCAGAAATTTCCTTTTCTTCATTTAGCCAAGATTGGGTTTGCTGACAATGACAGACCCCTGACGATGTGCACATATCCTTCAGGGCTCATAAGGCTAGACTTGATCCCTGATCCCTGATCCCCTTGCTGATCCTCTACCCAGAGGCCCCAGGCCCTTCCCCCTTTCACCTTTTGCAGCTCTGTGCCATCCAGGACCAGCTGAAAGGTGGCTTCACTGTTGCTCCATCACAGGAACAAAGGCAAATGGCTGCACTGAAATCAGCAGGCTTTCTCACCATCTGAACAGGAGTGTGTAGGTGTTGCCTTGGGCCAGTTCATGGAGAGACTGTGTGGGAGTGACTTCCAGTTTGCAGCTAGTAGCTTCGAGCAGCTCAGAGTGCTAGGAAAACCTACGCTCATACAGGCCTGACAGGAACACCTGCAGGGTGGGGCACTCTGCTCTAGGGAACCATCTGAGTGAAGCCACATCCTCAGTGATTGAGGTCACCATTGCCAGGGAAGCAAGAGACGAAGGCCTGAGGCATGATTCCCCCAACTCATAAGGCCCCCTTTGCATAGGGACAATGATCCTTCCAGACTGCCTTCCACTGAGTAGCAATATTGAGAACTTCCTCATAGTATGGTTACATTGACCATAAGATGATTGGTTTCTAAATGTTAAGTCACCTGCTTGCTTATGTATGATTGGAGGATGCGCCCTAGATCAGTTGTAACCTCTTCCGCATTAAATGAGCTTGCAGGAGGTCCACTGGAGGTCTGTCACATGCCTGCTCTCACCAGCTCCGGATGTCTGTGTCTTGACTCCACATCCATACCCACCGAGACTGAGTATAGGGACCCACAGCAACAATATGGTATCTAAGATCTGGTACAGCAGGCCTCCTGGAGGGTGAATATCCTCAGGAAAGAGAGGCTGGTAGTGGACCATCCAGTTCCTAGACTGTGGAGGCAACTACTGACCCCCAGATTTCAGTGTACCCTGGATCCAAGGAACTGCCTGGAATTGGGCAAAGAGCGACGAGACCAGTGGCTGGGTAGCAGAAAGGCAGGGAAAGAAGGAA